TACCTCATGTAAAGAAAGAGCAGTGTACATCAATCGCCGTTTTTAAGGCAGAACATATCGTAATTAATGGTAAAACAGGTCATCTAAGCTCTTCCCCTGGAACTTAACTAACTACGATAGCGAACAACCCAGCGCAAACACGCAGCAACCACGACCCAGGCGCCATTTCTACGCGTGATCACAACATTACTGCGCATCAAAAACCATAAAAATGTACGAGGCCAAGGTAACAAGAATTCAATAAAATGTGTTTCTTGCGCATCCAAGCAGTCTTCCATATTGTTTGTGGATTGGTCAACATGGTGGGGAAATATGACGTTTTTGCGTGGGAATGAAAAGCAAAATGAGAATATGGCGGCTAGACAAAGCTTCTTAATACGGTACATATATATGGCATGGAACATGGACGCCAATGGGACGCTGGGTTGAAGGGGACAGAGTGAGGGTTGGGTTAGGTTAGGTTAGGTTAGGTTAGGTTAGGTTAGGTTAGGTTGTTAGGCTAGGCTAGGTTAGGTTACGTTAGATTAGGTTAGGTTAGGCTAGGCTAGTTTAGTTCAGGCTATGTTCTGGACTATTCTGGCCTGTCCGCTTCATAAATGTACCTACACGCGATAAGAAACGTTTTTCATTGCATTATTATTGTTACCTTGGTTCCGTACATCTTTTAAGGTTCTCGATAAGCAGAAATATTGTAATTACGCGGGGTCCAAAGTCTAGTATAAAATATGGCAGCAACGGCGCACATTTCACGTCTAGCCGCAGGGTTTCCATGTAAAATGACCCCTCGTGAGGCCCACGGCTTTCTAAATCTTGAACATATATATGCATTAACAGCGGATACAAATGAAGCCTGAACAATTCTCTTTTGATTTCCAAGATCAAAGTGTGCGCCGTGGCACTCATTTCCGAACTATCAGGTAAAGCGCAGACCCATGCACGCGCCACGATGTCCAGGCGTCGGATCGAATCCCTCTGCCGCCAACTCTTTTCAGCAGAGTTGAGATGGAACACGGAGTGAATACGGCCACTGACTGGCGATAGAACTATTGAGTGCAACAATATTCTGATTATATATATGTATATATATATATATATATATATATATATATATATATATATATATATATAATCAGAATATTGTTGCACTCAATATTATATATATATATATATATATATATATATATATTATATATAATATATATATATAATCAGAATATTGTTGCATCAATATTATATATATATATGTAATATATATATATATATAATATATATATAATATATATATATATATATATATACACATAAATATGCATACATATATGCATATATATGGATATTATATGTCACCTGAAGATGCACCTGCTGTGCCGTGAAATGTGCTGCGAGCTATTGCAAGAAATACACGTGAAATATTTTTATATCTATCAAATATACCTGACAGGTGTTATGCAGCTGTTGGGCTACATGCAAAGGCCCATCGCTGGGGCGCATAGCATTTTTGTGCCTGACACATGGGGCCTATCGTGACGGTAGCGGTCCAAAGCTGGCCGTCCAACGCGCCCAGAGGTAGGACCAGGCACTGTTAGGTTCTTAAGTTGTGATGCTGGCCGCTACTGCTGTGCAGGGCCGGCAATGCCGCCTCAGGATCAGCGCAGCAACGATAACATAGTAACATTGCAAGCACTGCTGATTGGGGAGCAGTTGTGCTTAAAAGCAGGATGGTAAGCATTATAATGATAAATGCCATGATGGTGAGCTGTACTGCACGAAGGCGCTGATATAACACAATTTATAAAACTTCTTTGATTGATCTTGAAGAGCTTAAACACCTGACAGACCTATGGCCTAAGTAACCATGCTCCCTAAAACCATGCGCACATAGGGTTTTTGGCATAAGGTGAATACAAACATTTTATCACTGGCTCCACTGAACAAATGAACCTGAAAAAGCTTGCTTTCACATCACAAAACCTGCAAAACAAATATATGAAGCTTCAATGTGATATAACATTCTCCATTCCTCATCAAGCCTTGTAATTTTCAACTTTTACTTTCGTCCACTGATCTCGGAGTAGGAAAGGTACACCTAAGCAGCTGAAGTGAAGTGGGTAGCTTAAACAGATTTTGAAGGTGCATCAGTATCTGAAACATATGCAGCCTTTGCTCAAGGTAATACAAACTATCAATGGACCTTAGATTGCCCCAAACCATGCCCCAGTTATGCACATTTTTACATAAATACAACATATTGTATTGATGTAATATTTATGTACCATCTTGTACTTAACATTTGCTCATATTGTTATGAGGAAATTGTGTTGATATAAATTATGCAATGGAGTTGTGTAACAGATACACTGTTGAGGATAGAGTTACAGGTACAATTCAGAATCTTGCAATATTTGATACAAAACATCAGTTTCTATAAATGTCACAAATCTGAAAACTTCCCTTGCATAAGCAGACATCCTACAATGTTGAAATTAATTTGATAGCCCTGTATCCTATGTGATCTAATTATTTCAGCATGAGACTTAGCATAAATCACAAAGATGATTTATCTTGCTGACTAACTGTACATTTCAGGTACAACACAAACCATTGCACCCATTAAGTACATTAACTACATTTGCTGCTTACATTGGATACATTTACCAAGCACAGGTTATTGTTCAATGCCAGGTTTATGCTGCATGCAGCTGGATGGAGCAATTACATTTTGTGATGGTGGCATCCTCCAAGAATGTTGAAATTCACTAGCAAATGTTGGCTTGCCCTTTTCATATTGTTGCTAGAATACTACAAAGCAAACTAAGGTAAAAGTGGCTATCACATCATGATCACCTGCTTTGGGCATCATTTGATGACATTGGCTGGGCTTTTGAAGGAAAGACACAAAACTACAACTTTGAATATCCTTAAATCAAAATGAGGTGTTCAGACACAATGAGAAACACATGTTAGGTGGAGGTGAGGTAGGGTTGCCCTCAGCACAGCCCATCACTAAATTACACACATTGATTTTTCTGATCTAGAAAAACCATAACTTACAATTTCACAAAAGCCAAATTATGTCCAAAAACTCAGCCAACTTCTGATACCAAATGACCTTTTCTAAACAGTGCAGGCAGATAACTCTTTTGGTGAAAGGTCATATCAGGTATGTGCAAAACATTGCATTATACCAAACATTTCCATTGCATTATAGTGCCTTTCATGTCTCAATAAACCCATCTAATGCAACTGCACAGCTGTGCTGAACTGACATAACTACTGGTTGACCCATTTTATGGGTGGTAACACCACTGTGCACAAAGGCTATCAATGCTATGTGGATTATTCAAATGCCAGTCAGACAACAATCTCGATATTCATGTATTAAAAAATAACACAACCTTTAGTTCCAGTACATATATATACCTGAGCATGCCTTGGCCAATCATTTTGCAGGCAGTATTCCACAAGCATTCAACAGCCGGTAGCCTAGGCCACAACATTCATAACCGGCTAGTTGTGCAGCGACTGAATAATTGCATTATCAGCTTTGCGGTCAGGGTGTACTTTCCTACCTAACTTAGAAAAAAGTACTGTGCACCATTCGTCATGTTTAAGGCAGGTCGCATCGTAAATAATCACAAAACAGGTAGATTCATACTCTTACCTTCGAATTTTTTACAATTACGATGGCGAGCTCCAGAGCGCCGCACACACACAGCACCCGCGACACCGGCGCCATCTGCGCGCGGTCACAACATTACTGCGCATCAAGCAGCATCAAGAACCATAAAATGTACCAAAACAAGTACTGCGTTATCCTTGAACACGTAAATGCCTTGGGACAGTCCCATGGTGACGTCACCATGGGATTGCCAGGCCCAGTCCCGACTAGGTTCTGACTCCCCCCCCCCTTGGATCGGTTGAGCAGTTTTCTAGTTTGAATTTGACTGCAATGCCCTGAAGTGGCTTACGCGGTTTTTGAATGTATAGATGGTGACCTGGGATGACCAGTTTCAGAACGGCTGATAAAACCGCATACTAGCTTTCGATTGGTGCCGTTTTGATGAACATCTGACCAGTAGTTACGTAGTTTGAAGTTCGCTGCATGGATGGCGTTGAAGTAGTGTGGTCCCAAATTGTGGGACATTTGAAGCATGTGAGCGCAATGGTGATGCCGGGTTGATCGCTGCAGGACGCCGTGAGTGGGGACAGCGGGAAGATATACGGGACTGGCTGGAGGCGACGTTGAGTGGAACGATAGGCCAGGTTTGGAGTGGGTAATAATTCTGTCTAACGGACATCTCCGCTCCTTACGTTCACGCACCAGTGATGTATGTACCAGGTTTGCCGCAACCGTATCAAAGTGAATTGCCTTTTGGTTATCGTCACGCTGTTATTCCTGGCGAAGACCCTTATTTTTCAACGTTCTGTATTCATCAAGCTGGTACTGTCAGAAACCCTTGGCTTTGCCTTTGTTTATAATTTCCTGAGGATTCCATAATTATATGAAGTAGCCTAAGAAAATAAGTGCTCATGGAGTCCTGACAATTTCATAATGATAAGAAGTAGCTTATGAAAATTAAGACTACATAAACCAGCTTATAGCTAAGTGTGCTTATCAGCAAATCGGAGGCTTTTCATGTATTAGATGACATGTGTGGATGGAGGGTGAAAATAAGTAGCAAGGAGGATAGGTCTGGACAGAAAAATATTATGCTCAGGCAAAGTCATGATTGGCTGTTTAAGCCTTGTTTGAATGTTTTAACACCCTAAAGCCTGATATCATTGGCTCTCATCATGACAGCATGTGCATCTTTGTTTCACAACTCTTGCTTAATTAGAGGACAAATGGGCATTACCATTTGGGATGTTGTGTTTTACAAAGAAACATGAATCAGCCTTATGTATGCATTAAATTAATTGCTTGATCATTTAAAGATACTGTAAATTGTGGCCATGCCACCTTGTTGTGTAAGTCCACAATGTATGCAGTTATCCACTACAAGCCATCCATCTCTTCATGCCAGTGTGCATCCTTAGGCTGACCAAGTTTGAGAGCCCATTGACCAGCATTTACCCCAGGTTGACTGGGGCCGGGCTGTTGACAGCTGCTGGCACCTGTTTGCAGTGCAGCATGTGGGCCAATGGTGCACAGCGCCCATCCGCCATGCCGCACACGGAGCAGAGCTCCGAGAGTGACCGGTCGTCGCTGCTGGGCCCATCTGTGGCCTCCCTCAGCTGGTCCGACCCTGAGACCACCTTTGATCGCCTCCTCAAGGGAGCAGTGTGAGCAAGTGATGGAGGTGCCCCCCAGCTTATCAGCTTTGTAAAGTGCTGATTGGAATCATCTTGGATGTACTGTTTGCACACCATTGCCAGACAGAAATGCTGGTGGTCCCTACACAAACAAAGGACTGTGGGTGGTGAATTGGACCTCTGTTTTACCACATGGGCAGGGATCTATGAGAAATCAGTTGCCTTAAGGCTGGGATAGTTATTGGTACTTGACAAGGGAGTGCTCTACATTTGAAAATATTGAACAAGCATCAGACATGATGAAAGAAGTGCAGTGATAACTATTGGTATACTGTTAGCTGTGAAAGACATTGTTTGACAAAAGACAAAAGGCTCGTTTTTCCATCAGACATGTACAATTCGATAAGTAATACCAGTTTTAAAAAACCCCTTCTGAATGGCTCAAAATTTTGATTTGAAGCAGCTGATCATGTGACATAAATGTGGGTAGACTCTGCGCACTGCCATGAAAGTAATGCATTTCTTTTTGTCGCGCTTTTTCCGACGTGTGCTCGGTTATCTTTGTGACACACTTATGTGTCAACATGCTTGTGTAACAAATACTACGAAAGCTTAAAACACTATTCAGGCAAAAAGAGAAACGAGGCATGAAGCCGTTATCCCGCGAGTTCAACGAAACATTAAATTATGGGTTTGGTTCCTCTCCTATTGCGTTTACCACAGCGCATCTTTTCGATGCGCACTTGGCCCTGGGAATGGGAGCATCATATGATCCATGTGATGCACTGGCTCAAAATTCAACCTGTGCGCTTCTGGGTAACAGGTCACTGCTCGCCAGGTCAATCACAAACACCTTTTTATTCGCGCCAATAGAGGTGAACACGGTCGTCATGATGACGGTGGTCGCGACTGCAAGGAAGAAGCGTAAAGGTGTTGCAAAGCGTTGGCAGCATAATTTAGATTGGGGAATGGTTCAAATTGATGTTCTTATTTTGTCTTGCCTGTGCCGCAGTGGCACTACCCAGTACTATTATTAAACGGAGATGGTCGTGAGGTTTCACTAGAAGTATGCTTTTTTAAGCATGCCGCAAAGTTAGAGCACTTCCTTCAAGTACTCATTAGTACATCATTCTTTCGTTGTCACGTTGCGTTGTTTTTAATGTCAATATGCCTATCGGTTGATCCAACAGTCGGTAATTCTGTTTGGTGTCGGCGCGCTACCAAAGGCGGGTAGCTGGATAGCCACAGGACATGCCGCCAGCCTTTTGCGTGTCTTGTTGGCTGGCGTGTGTGTCTGATCACCCCCCCCCCCCCCTTCCCATCTCCCACCCTAATCTCCGGGAGGGGGCTGCGCTGATCTGCGGTTGCAATGGCTACAGGTACCAGAAGGTGGTGACGCGGCGCAGTCCGGTCAACGACAGTTCGTCGGCCGACTCGGAGCACGCCGCCAGCATCCGCCTGTTCGAGTCGCCGTCGGTGGCGCCACCGCCTCCCCGAGGGAAGCCGCCGCCTCGTGAGTCGCGTCGGCCGTACCCCCAGTCATAGGAACAAACCGGAAGTCCAGCATGAAGTCGAAGAGCTGGCTACACGGCGTTGTGCATCTTTCAGAGGATGCTCCCAGTCGTCCGTCTGCTTTGCAAGTAATGAAGAATCACGGCAACTGTTACGATAAAGACCGTGGGCAACGGTGTGCCCTCTCAACAAAATGTGGCGAACTATACCACATAAACATAACTATTGCGTATGCATCCATTAAGTTGCCAGATCGTGTCTACGTGTGTGTGCGCGCGAGCGTGCGCATGCTTGTTTACATGTATATTTAATGCCCTATGGTATGCTTTCGTGCGTGTGAGCGTGATCGTGCACCTCCATGGCCACTGATCGCGGCTGTCGTCCGCAGGCAGGGGCAGTAAGGCGAACCGGACGCACGCGGTCGGTGCGCGGCCCGCCGCCGGCCCCCGGGCGGCGGGCCGGTCCACGCAGGTCGCGCCGGGGCCAGCTCCCGCACGGGCGGCGCTGGCGCCGCTGGCTGGGCCCAGCACTAGCACGCCGATGCTGGGCCGGACGCGGCTGGTGGCGCCGGCGCTCTCCCCGGTATCGCCGGACGCGGTTAGCCATACGGCTGTCGCCAGTCCCGGGCTGGCGGCGCCGAATCTCTCTCCGGTGTCGCTGGGCTCTGCAGGCGCCAGCCCCGGCGCCAGCCCCGTTGCCAACCCTGGCGCCAGCCCCGGCGCCAGGCCCGGCGCCAGCCTTGGCGCCAGCCCCGGCGCCAGCCCCGGCCGCATTCCGCACGGCATCAGCGCCGACCCCGCGTCTCCGCGGAGCGGCTGGACGGCGTGGCCGGAGCCGGCGACCGGCGCGGCGCCGAGCGACGCCTGGGCCCTGGCGGCCTGGGAGCGTGGGAGCCCGCCGCCGGCCGTGGTGGCTCCGCCCGCGCTGGTCCTCAACTCGATGACAAACTCTCCAGCCTCCAGCCCCGTCGGCGGAGCCACGCCCATCGAGGGCATCCGGGAGTGCTTCGTCAGGCTGTGCCGACTTGAGCTTGAGGAGAGTAAAACAGAAGTGAACAAGGCTCCTGTTGGTGATGATGAAGCCGACGCTCGAGATACAGATAATCAGGAAGACAGGGAAGGTCGGTCACTGAGCATGCAAGAAACCGTGCCCTCCGCAGGTAAATACTGTAATGAAGTAGCTGTTGGCTTCGTTCTCTCACATAAATTTGTTACTTTGACTGTTTTCCGCCGGTGTATTCTGTTCAAGTGCAGCGTCTGCGCTGTTCACATCTCAGGAAACTGCACTGTAAACATGTACCTCGTAGACGCATCAACCTTTGTTGTACTTAGTAAAGCATGCCATCACCATTGTTAGCTACGTGACAAAACGGACTTGGCCAGAGGGCACGAAAGAACACCTTCAGCTCAGTATATGTAACGTTTCGGGACTTAATGAAGTTGTGCGACATGCCGTATTTTGTGTCGGCCGGGCGCTCGGACGCGCTGGCCGCGGGGCCGGTTGACTAACCATTTGCAGCCTTGCGGCACGAGCGGTCTGGTGTCCGACGGTTCGCTCTATGGGGCACCTTGTGTCCGGGATCGGGACCGGGACAGGCCACGTACGGCCGCGTGCCCGGTGCACCGTCACGCGCCGTCGTGGATCCATCACCAATGACCGGCCAGTGCGATGATTCGATCAAATCGGGATTCTGACTAGCAGTAGGAACATTAGCTACAAATGTAGTCTCGTGGCGCTAGGTGTGTGCTTTAATCTGGTGGTCGCAAACATCCTCTGTCCGTGCACTCCGCGCCCGGTGTGAGTGTGCGCCTGCGCTGTTGTCTGCCGCCTCGCCTGTTCCGCCTGCCGTGGTGGTCTCGTGTCGGCGTGTCACCCCGCCCCGCTGCCGCCGGCGGGCGCTGACCCCCCCCCCCCCCCATCCCGTCCCCAGAATCGGCCCCACCGGCGCCGGAGCCGGGCGGCGGCCTGCAGGGCGTGCTGCTGGCGCTGCGCACTGGCAAGGGCTGGCGCCGCTCACTGTTCCAGCTGGCGCCCGAGGCCGGCCGGGAGGCGCGGCCCGGCGGCGGACGCCTCTCGGTGCAGCCGCGGCCGCCGGAGGAGGTCGCTGACGCGGCGGGACACCGCTCCGGTGCGCGCCGCTCCGTGCAGCTGCACCCTGCGCCGCTGGAGGAGCGGGCCGCCGGCGGAGGCCGCTACTTGCGCAGCCGACGCCGGTCTATGCGGCTCTTGTCTGCGTTGGCGGAAGAGGAGAAGACACTTGTGTCGGACACGCTCCGTTCGTTGAGAGATAGTCGCCGTTCCATGCTGCCCGTACCTGAGCGAACAGAAGAGGAGGCGTCGCAGATCTCGGACACGTCCCATTCCCCGCCAAATGGACGCCCTTCCCTGCGAGCTTTTCCTGAGCCGACAGAAAGGGACTTGGAAATGTCCCTCGCCCTCATGAGTGTGCGCCTGTCCGCGCAGTGCTCTGAGTTCATCGAGGAGGAGCTGCGGGCGTTCCGCTCGCTGAAGAGTGGCCGCCGGTCGATGCTGCCGCTGCGGCTGGCAGCGTCCGAGCCGGATTCGTCGCGCTCGGCGCGCAGCGGCCGCCGCTCGGTACAGCTGGCGCCGTCCGTCGGCGGCCTGCGGGAGGCCGAGCCGGGCCGCCGGCGTCTGTCGGCGCTGCCGCCCGGCTTCAGCCCGGCGCCGCGGACGCGGCGCTCCTCGGTGTACGTGTCGTCGGACGTGGCGGCCGCCGCCGACGTCTCGCTGAGCTACGAGGACCCGGCCGGCCGCGTCCTGGAGCTCTGCAACCTGCGCCAGCCGGCAAACTTCGCGCAGTTCTGCCGCAGGTGGGGCACGGTCGTGGAGGACGCCCGGCTGACTGTGGCTTGAGCATGACCACAGGCGAAACAAACTGCTCTCCTCACTACACTGTGTAAACTGGGCCGTAGTGCTCGAGTTCCGCCATCAGCGCTTGGGGAGTTGACTGTGGCCACCCACTTGTTTATAATATGTGAGTGCAATGATCAAAAGTGTAAATTCAGTTGCATGGTATTTTGGTTGGGTGCATGCCTGTACTATCATGATTATATAAGAGCCTTTCCACAAGGAAGGTGATATAAGTGGCTGCAAAACCGAAGTAAGTTTTCAAGAAGACCTATTCGAGCATGCTGAGATGGCAGAAGACAGTTCCCAGCCGGTCCGTGGCGTCACGGAGCTCCAGCACATCCATGGTGCCCCAGCAATGCCTTGGCAAGGACGAGGATCGTGGCTGACCTACGAATGGTCCGCTCGGCATGCTGCCTGGCCACCAGAACGAGCCATACGTGTCTGGCGTGCGCCGACGTATCAAGCTAGACATGCGTGCATTCGATGCGTGGTGTGCGCCGTTGGGTGTCTTGCGAAATCTGAAGGACTAGTGGCATATTTGGTGACCAGCACAAAGTACCCCTCAGTTAACATATTATTTATTAACATGCATGGAGCATGTTATTGCCTGACGGGCCGCTTGAACGTGCGCCGAAAGGGCGCTTGACAACGCTTGAGAGTGTGCCGAAAGGGCGCTTGACAACGCTTGAGAGTGTGCCGAAAGGACGCTTGACAACGCTTGAGAGTGCGCCGGGCTCACCAGAACCAGAAACCAAGAAATTGGTCGCGATGACAGTGCAAGCATTGAAAAGCCCGCGGAGGCTGTGAACAGCGTTATTTCAGTCTGCAATGGTGCCTGCAGGCCATAATTCTGCAGGCACCGGCCAGTCCGTTTGCACGACGCAACGAATCGGCGGCTCGGGAGACGGTGCGTTTGGTTCGGCTGATGGCGAGAGCACTGTTCTTGTGAACGTAAACATCTCGCCGCATGGATACTTCGCGGAACAACCGTTCAGAGTGGCGAATTTGAGCTATTGGGGAGCCAATGGAGACGATGATCAGGCGGTCCAAGGCGGTCATGCCTGATGTAGCTGCGCTTGCGTTCAGGTAAAAACACTACCTGAAATGTCACAACCGAAGCAGAACGCTTTGCACGTGGACGTGGCCTTGCCAGTCCATCTAGGTATTGTCGGTAGGTAAATCCGTAATGCTGTCATTTTCTTATTCCTGTTTGACGGATGAGCCATGTTTGCGCGTCGGCACATTTTATTCTCGTAAGCTGTGTTCGGCCGGGGAGCTGATTATGGGTTTAATATCGCAGGGCAAATGTCACAAAGAAGATCGGGGAAGGCGTGTACGGCGAGGTTTTCCTCACCGGGAACAAATCAGCCCACATGTCCGTCTTAAAAGTCATGCCGATCGAGGGAGACTTCGAGGTCAATGCCGCCGCCCAGAAGAGCTACGGCGAGGTGCTGTCGGAGCTGGTGATCTCAAAGTGAGTCGTCTGCGTCGGGAACGGCATTGCTCTTGCATTTGCCTGGAAGATTGCACCACAATCATCATCAGAACTTGGCGTTCTCATCTTTGGTCGTCTGCTTGCCCATAATGGTGATCATCTCAGTCTGGTTCCGAACGCGAATAGCCCTGGCTGCTGCGGCCGATGGGCGTCTCGTCTGATTTCTCGAGTATTGTTTCGCCTCGACACTATTTAGTCTATCTGGTGCCTATCACATCACATGTCCATCACACACCGCTTAGAGGAAGGCCTCATTGTCCAGCCGTTTCACGGTACCGTGGCGGCAGCGATGTCCGTCAGTGGCTGGGCCCTCAGCTGTGTCAGTTCAGAATCTTCCGATCACGTCTGCCCCGGTGGCGCCGTCAATGCGGGCCAGCTCCCTGCCCACGTGCCCGCCTGCCGTCGCCGCTGTGACTTCACCGCGCCTCCAGGTCGCTGAGTGACCTGCATGCCGGCGTGCGGTCGTCGACCGAGGGCTTCGTCCGGCTGCTCTCATGTCACGTGGTGCGCGGCGCCTACCCGTCCCGCCTGCGCCAGCTCTGGGAGAAGTTCGACCGCGAGAAGGGTACGCTGGCGCGCCGCCGCCGCCGCCGCCGCCGCCGCCGCCGCCGCCACCGCCACCGCCACCGCCACCACCACCACCGCCACCGCCGCCACCGCCGCCAGATGCCTGTGTGGCGAGAGGGCGGCGTCAGTGCCGAGCCTAGCGCCGGCGGGCGCCGTGCAGCCCCGTTTGTGGCGTCTTCGCTGACAAACAAATGGGTTCTGCGAGGCGTTAGAACGGGGCCGTGGTGAACGCAAACTGCAGTGCGCTGTAGGCCTACTTATTGTATATTTAGGCTGACATGAAAATAAATGTGTCCTAATCACTACATATCATGACCGCAAATTCCAGATTCTGAAGCGGTTTTTAGCCGACTCGAAGCGATCCAGAACCCGCATATGAAAACTGCTGTCGCGCCACGTGGCGAATTATCGCCATGGTGGTGTTGCCTTACTGCAGTCTCATACTTATACACTCTGTTACGGTGCTAACGCCTGCTCCCCCGCCGTGAGCCCGATCAGGTGACTGCCGATCGTTCTCGAAACTGGCCGAAGTGCGTGCCTCCCACGTGGCCGCTCGTCCATGATTGACTGAGACCGGGGTCGACACCGGCGCGCCCGGCGGGCGTGAGCGTGTGCGTTCGCTGTGTGACGGGTGGGCCGCTGCCGGCAGGCTCGGAGAACGAGCACCCGCGCCTGTTCCTGGCCGGCCAGCTGTTCCTGGTGCTCGAATACTCGCACGCCGGCCAGGACCTCGAGCACTTCCAGTTCAGCGACGTGGACCAGGCGATAGCGGCGTTCATGCAGGTGACGGACTCCGCGGTCTGCGTGCGTGCGTGCGTGCGT